TAGCACACACGCATCTCGTACATTGCATACCCAAAGACCATACGCGCATCTCACCCGTGTTGTCTCGAAAGTTTCCCCATAGCTTCAATCCACAGCGCACTCGAGCGACCGCATCACCAGTGTAGTGCGAGACAGCCACCTCGTCATCAGATTCGCTGTGTTGCCATAGTTTGCTCCAGGTTTCCACTGTCTGAGCAGATTAATCACTTCATATCATTGGGAAATCCTTACGCTCGTGACAACCAGGAGGCCAGAAACACACGCGGCTGAATTCACATGCGGGTCATGCCGAGGCCACGCGCTGAATACAAGCGTGGCGGGAGCGTGTGTTCGGCCACTCGCACTCCATGCTTCGCCACACCCAGTCTCTGCTTCGACGCCGCCTCTCTGGGCATCGCACTTTCTGAATGGTGTTGACCGTTCCGCCCGCTCGCCCCTTGCACTGGTCCCCAGCGCGCGGCTGTCGCTGTGGTGTCTGCCTGTGCCTGTCACCTTCTCCTCATTACTCTTCCTCTCGTCTATACCGTGTCGGCTGCACTACGCCTCCACTTCCACCCTGCGTTCACTGCTGTCTGCTCCTCCACCCTCGCTGCTCATGCCCGGGAGTGCGCATGGCATGATCGGTCTTTGTGGATCCCTGCCCCATCTTCTGAAGGGCCGGCCGCGCACGCTCTGAGTTCGCTCTCTGACAGACTTTCTCCGCCTCGTCGCTGCGCGCGAGGCCGCGACCGCCAAAAAGTGTCTTCGGCCACTCGAAGGCCCAGCGCTGGAGACACATGGGGCAATGTGTGTATCCAACCCTCGCCCAGCTCCTCTACATCGAGCGAATCCAGCGTACTGGCGTACGGCCTAGCCTGGAGACCCTGAATCCAGCAAACATAACAGATTTGGAGGGCGAACGCCAACATACCCCAGCCCTGCACGGCGAGGACATTCCGTACCACACGTTTGTCCCCCTCCACACCACCAGACCAGCGCTGCCTGCCCCCCTCTGAGTGAGGGTGGTGATCCTCCCCAGGCTTCGCCCACGAAAAGGCCAAGAGCGGCGGCGGAGACGGGGAACACGACCACGACTGCGACGACGGCGACAACGGCGACCACGACAACGACCACCACCACGACCACGACCACGACGACCACGACCACGATCACAATCTCCAAAAGACGACCACGACCACGACCACGACCACGGCTACCGCGACGACCACGACCACGACGCCGACGCCGACGACGACGCCGACGCCGACGCCGACGACGACGACGACGACGACGACGACGACGACGACGACGACGACGACGACGACGACGACGACGACGACGACGACGACGGCCACGGCGACTGCGACGAAGCTTCACTTGCAAAGAGGCGGCCAGCGGCGCACGGGCGGCGCTCGCCCGGTCTTCGGGGAGAAGACGGGCTCCTCCGGCGGGGTCCCCGAGATGGCGCACACCTGCGGCGGGGCCAGGGAGGGGAGGAGGGACGACGACGACGACGACGACGACGACGACGACGACGACGACGACGACGACGACGTCGGTCTCCGGCCCTGGTGGCTCATGTCCTCTCGCCGGAGAAAAGACCACGCCTCTCTGCCGCACGAGGCTACGCCAGCACACTCGACCGAACCAGGGACGCTGACAACAAAGGTGCCTGCCATCGCGCTGCGCGAAGCGCGAAGCGCGAGGCGCGAAGCGCGAGTAACTTCGCGCTCTCGCGCCGCCCCCCCAAGGGAGAAAAGGAGGACGAGGAGGAATCGGAGCCGAACCGCGAAGCGCGAAGGGCGAATGGCTTCGCGTCCTCGAGGGCGCCCCTGTCACACCTGCCCAAAACCAAGCCCTCGGCCGGCCCCGTCCGCGACCCTCACCGGCCCTCGCGCCTGGCCCTCCGCTGCCGTCGGTCCTTCCCCCCTGGCTCGGCTGCCACCCCCCTAGGCGGCGCCGTCTCCCTCTCGCTGTGTGGGGCGTTGGCTCAGGAGACAACAAAAAAAACAGCACAAACATACTCTCACGGAGGCCTGCGCGGATTCCCCATTCCTGGCGCGCGGAGCGCGCCAGGGGCGGCGACGGAGACGCCGCCAGGGAGGGCAAATGTCTATCCAAGAAACCCGTGCGGACCTCCGAGAGATTATGTTTGTGCTGTTGGTTTCCAAGGATGAGTTGCCTAGAGGAGTCCTAGCTCGAGCCATAGAGAACTGGTCCACTGTCCCCCCCTCCCTACTTTGTCCTTGCAATCGTCGAACTATCCGCATGGTGTCCTCTGCATTCGCATGGTTTCCTATGCTATTATCATGGCTTGCTCTGTCTTCGGATGGCTTGCTTCGCTATATGCATGTCTTCCACTGTATCCAAATGGCTGCTTCTGATATTCCCATGGCTTCCTATTACACCAATTGCGTCGTAACAACAGTCCAATAATCGTCAAAAATATCCGCCTAGCCTCCTCTGGATTCGCATGGTCTCCTCTGCTATCCGCATGGCATCCTCTGCATCCGCATGGCCTCCTCTGCTATTCCAATGGCTTCGTGTGGCTCTTGAAATGGCGTCCCGACAGTCATCCAACAATCGTCGAAGTCAGAAGTAGAGTAGAGTAGAGCAGAGCAGAGTAGAGAAGAGAAGAGTAGATGAGTACAGTAGGAGTCAAGCACGATAGAGTAGATCAGAGTAGTGCAGACCAGAGTAGAGAGTAGAGGAGAGGAGAGAAGAGGAAAGAAGAGTAGTAGGAGTGGGAGTCAATTTAGCCAGGTCGAGCGAGCCAGAAGATTCCATATATTCCCACTCTCCCTTACACAACGCAAGAATCAATTGTGGCAAAAATTGATTTCGGAATTGGACCGCGCTCCCGCCTCGCAACGGAAGGCGCTCTCGCGCGGTCCCGCTTCCGACGACTTGGCGAAGGGAGCACCAAGCGGGCCGCGCAGGGGCGTGAGCGGCAAAACTTCCGATGGGCGCGGCAAAGACGAAGCATGCGCCGCGCTGGCACAGCACTGCCACTTACACTCACAAACTGCGCGGCGCTCGGGCGAGGTCGGCCTTTCGCCCGCTCTCGCGCGGCCCCGCTGCCAGTGTCGCCCTCATGCGACTCGGCGACCGAACCATGCGCCGCGCCCATGCGACTTCCGCACGGAGCCTGGGCAAAGGCGACAAATCGCCCACTCGCGCGGCCCCCCCCCCAACTTTGGCGAAGGACAACTACGCGCCGCGCCAAGGCGGGAGCGCCACTTCTTCAGACGGCATGTGCGCGGCGCCGAGGCGACGGCGACATGTCGGCCTCTCGCGCTGGACGTGCGCCCCGTCCCACTCCCGCCACGCATTTTGCAGCATGGACGACGGAATGTCCACGTTGAAAATCGTCGACTCCTTACAATCGATGCGATCATCACATGGATCAATAACGGGGGGGCACCAGTGGAATGGCGGGGATAGAGGCCGCACCGTGGCCGTGGAGTTCGGGCGTGCGCCGATCGCGGCCCGAGCCCCGCGAGCGGAGAGGGAGCTCCACGGCGAGGTCGCAGTGGACTGTGCTGACGCCGGCACGGATGCCGTGTGCCCAGGCGGGCATGGGCTGCAAGTGGCTTCGTGCAGCAGGGCCACGCGCCACGCGACATGCAAGGCCTGTGGGGGCCGCAGCGTAGGGGCGCGCGTCGTGGCTGAGGGCAGCACCTTCGCTGCCTGCCCATCCGTGCACCGTCGCCGCCGTGCGCCAGACCCGCCTCGCCCTCAGCACCTGGCTCGGAGCGCGGAGGCCCGTCGGCGATCTGGCCACAGGCTGGGACTGCCCCCCCAATCGGGGGGGGGACTGCTGCCAACCCTTGGCTGAGTTACCCTATCCTTTACTCAGACTCTCCTCTACTCTCCTCTCCTCTGCTCTACTCTGGTCTACCATAGTCTCTCATACTCTGCTTCTGGGCGTGACGATTGTTGGACGAGTCTTCTGGTACGCCAGTGGAACAGCCACAGGAACCCATTGCACTAGCAAAGGGAGCCAATGCAATAGCAGAAGAAGCCATTGCAACCAGTTGTGGCAACATGGTGGGGATGTTATCGCAACCATATTGAGGCAAAACCAGTTCTCTGGGGATGGAGCTAGGACTTCTATAAGGCAAGCCTGCTTGGATGACTTTCGGAAGTGCTAAAGGGCGACGACGGGGGCGAATAGCCCAGGGGCCAGCATTACACGCATTCGCCCGGGAGCCTCGCGGAAGACGTGGATCCTCGGAGCCCCTGGACACGGGCAGTGCTCCCACCTAGCTCTTCGTCCCCACCGCCGCCTCCGAAGCCCTCCGACAATCCCTCCGACGGCGCTGGCCCCCCTCCCCACATAAAACGACGCGAAGATCGGGACAAAATCGGATCGGGATAACTCGAAATCTCTGAGAATCGGCGGGTTTGGAGGATGTATTGGGCGCCGCGGCCGCTCTGGAGCATTCCGGAACGCTCTGAGAGCGCTCCGGAACGCTCTGGGGCGATTTATCCCGATCCTAGCCCTGTTTTACACACGCCCCCCTGGCGCGCAGGTGCCGAGGGGGCCCCCGCGCCGGCGGGGAGGCCGCCCGCGACCTTCCGGCTCCCTGGACGGGGCAGGATATGGGCGGGGGCGGAGGGTGCCCCCGGACCTCCGACGTCGTGCCTTTCCTCACAGCGCGGGACCCGAGAGGTCCAGGCCCCTTCCCCGGGGCCGGCGCTTCATACCGAGGCTCGCTTCGAGGCTCCTGGGGCCCCGCGAGGGTCCCTCGGAGGCCGAGAGTTGTGAAGGGGCCCTGAGACACA